TCATCGCCATGTGTTGCTATGTAAATTCTGACATTATATACACATCTTTCCAAAAGGCCAAATAAATTTACTTTTTTTACACAGACAAGCCGATCCTGAAGTTTGCAAATTTTATTTCATTTTCACTTAAAAATAATACATTAACACTTCAATGTTGTGTTTGTATCTCTTTCCATTCTTTTAAAAAAAACCCATCTTAATTCTTGTCGTAATTTGGCCTCTTGCCTCATGAGATATTTATGGATAACTCCTAAAATACACTATAAAACATAGGCTCTATTTTGCCATAGCTACCACATAAGATCATCATGCAACTGAGGTCCATTTTAGCACATTTCTAGCTGATATCTGATACAGATTGATGCATTAGCATATACAATCATCAATAATTGATCTTCGTCATTCACCAACTCATCATCACATGTTGTTTTGCCTTTATTAACAATCCTTCAATTTCATTCTTCATTTGAATCATCCATCTGACACAAGCAGGGATGGAGCCTGTCAAAGTTCATCAAGTTAATTTCATCAATTTCATACCCATGCCACATCAAAGAAAAAGGCTGACAATGAAAACTGCTTACCGTATTTGTCCGCAGATAAGCCGAATTTTGAGGACCAGAAAAAAGATTCTGTAGAAAGGGGTCGGCTTATCCACGGGGTACACTTTCATGCTATTTTTCAGATCGTAATCTGTCAGAAACATCACCTGAATGACGGTCCGATAGATTACAACTTCCCGAAAGTTTGGAAGTTGCCACGACTAGAGCATTTATTGTTATAAATTACCAATAAAGTTATTATTATACACCAATGTTGTCATTATTAAAAAAATGTTATGCATGTTACTACTTCCGATAATAAGTTTTCAATTGAATGTTCAAAGTTTATCGTTCTTCATAAACTCCACAATCTTTACATGTTTTTTGCCTTTCACTTCCTGGTTCGGCTTATCTGCGGGTCATATCATTTTCTTTCGTATTTCAGTGGTCAAGTTAATACCTCGGCTTATCTACGAGGTTGGCTTATCTGCGGTCATATACGGTAATAAATTTACAAAAAATGGGCTTGTACATAAATAGGCATGGTTTCACTGCATGGGGACATGCCACAACAATGATTATCACACTCCCCGGAATCACGTTCCCATCAGCTGTGTGTGCAACAATGGATGACAGGATGACGAGTCCACTCCCACAACCATCGGTCAGCTGTTACCCAATGAGTTTTCCATTTCCTCAATCTCAACTGATGTAAAAGCAAGCTGTTGGTGGTCCATCCCATGCAGATTGCCACATCACCCATCACTTAACCAACAGATCTGTCTGTCACTGTCACCAACCCAGCTACGAGGACACCAACAATGGTGGACAAGTATATGTTGTCATTTTATATAAGTTTAACCTACTCAAAATAGAGAATGGATTTAAACTACACACCAAGTCAAAATAATTCTTAAATAACGATTTCTAAAATTTTAGATTTGAGACTTGACATTTGATATCCTACAACAGGATGAGTAATTGAGTGAGTGAGTGAGTGAGTGAGTGAGTGAGTGAATGAGTGAGTGAGTGAGTTGGGTTTAACGCCCCCTTGAACAGTATTCCAGTTATATCACGGTGTGTCAGCTTGATGTGGTTGGAAAGCCCGATGTGATGCAGGTCTCAGACAATTACCACTTTGGTGAAACCCACAAGCACGTGTATGGTGATGTCAAACTTAGAAACATAATTGGGGCAAACCAGGATTCAAAACCCTGATTGAATGTGGAATATAGCAACCATAAGATATTTCACCAAATGACAATTATTTCACTTCTAAAAAACATCATACTTGTGATAATTTGTTTTCCTTAATTTTGTTCACAACACATTGCATTATATATGTAATATTGGCTGTACATCAACAACTCCTTGACCCATGGTGTGGTCAGACATCCTCTGATTGTATCTCACACTGCAGGAAATCCTTCTGTATGAAGACACACACTTGGACACTAGATGATTCATACGTAGCATGGCTGTTGCAGGCAGAAATTCCCTGCATATTTACCTACATCAGATATAACACTGCACACAACTCAACACTGGACAGGGATGCTAATATATGGATACTGTTCAACTTTTGACAGGGATACTAAGATATGGATGCTGTTCAACTGTTGATAGAGATACTAAGATATGGATACTGTTCAACTATTGATAGGGATACTAAGATATGGATACTGTTTAACTTTTGACAGGGATACTAAGAAACAGATACTGTTTAACTTTTGATAGGGATATTAAGATATGGATACTGTTCAACTTTTGATAGGGATACTTAAATAAGGATACTGTTGACAGGGATACTAAGATATGGATGCTGTTCAACTTTTGATAGAGATACTAAGATACAGATACTGTTGACAGGGATACTAAGATATGGATGCTGTTCAACTTTTGATAAAGATACTAAGATACGGATACTGTTGACAGGGATACTAAGATATGGATACTCTTCAACTATTGATAGGGATACTAAGATATGGATACTGTTTAACTTTTGACAGGGATACTAAGATACGGATACTGTTGACAGGGATACTAAGATATGGATGCTGTTCAACTTTTGATAGGGATACTAAGATATGGAAGATTTCCATCCTTCCAAGTCATCTGTCTGGTGTACCAGAAGAATAATATAAGGAGTACAGTGGACCTTGTTTATTCAGAACCTGTGTTTCAAAACCCCATTAGATTGGACACCCCACCTTTTTTCATACAGTTGCTGTTCAGGTGTCTAAAATTCTGAAATTTCTTAGCCTGGATGACTCTCGCCGACTGTCATCATCCGGTTTAACAGGGTTCTACTGCAACCTTATCTCAAGTGGAATAATATCATAGACCATATAACATTCAAAATTAATTTGGATCATGGGGACGTTGAAGTTTAACCTACAGAACATAATCTCGGGATCCCCTAAATCTTAACATCAGAGTTATGACAAGGACCCCTTGACTTTCATTTTTAATATCTATCATTGTGTGCACATAAATTATCTTGTCACCCACATATCGGTCTGTACATTAGAATATGTTCCAGACATTCCTGTAAGTATTATAACTAAACTATCAACAAACAGAAGTCCATATTTAGTCAATTCTGTTTATATGTTGAGAATTCTCAAATATTTACATGTGTTTCATAGAATATGATCCGATAACAGTTGTTGAAATGTGCATGCACCAATCTGTCGTATCATATTACAATCACTTCACATATCACCACAGGTGGGTGTATCTGAGAATACATCAATAAATTAAACGCATAGTGGATCTGTACATTCTAACACCAATTACTTGGTGTATAACACTAATTACCGAGTGTATCTCTTCACTCATCACCAATCACCTGGTGTATAACACTAATCACTGAGTGTATCTCTACACTCATCACCAATCACCTGGTGTATACCACTTATCACTGAATGTATCTCTACACTCATCACCAATCACCTGGTGTATAACACTAATTACTGAATGTATCTCTACACTCATCACCAATCACCTGGTGTATAACACTAATCACTAAGTGTATCTCTACACTCATCGCCAATCACCTGGTGTGTGTCTGCACACTCATCACAATCAAATCATAACACTTCAGCATGCATCTGATCTTACATCTGCAGTTTCCTCGAAGACACCGGTATTCCTGTGCATTTTCTAATTTACATTTCAAATAAAATAACAAAACTAAACATGTGCTTGGTGTTTTGTATAAAACAACTTCATGCTTCCCCCCCTCCATGTCCTCTAGCCATGAGACTATATTGTGTGTGTATGCGTGACAGAATGTCTAGAGGAAATAAAGAAAGAAATGCTATTACAGTGATAAACTGAAGCACAAAGGTCTAGACCTGGTTACAGAGTCTGCCTTCTGAGACAGCAGCAGGAGAAATATTTCACTCAGGCCTCACAACTTGTAGTGTTGGTTTACAGATCAACTGACCTTTCAAATTGAAAATTCAGAAACACAATAAACACAGAATGACAAGGTGTTACTTTATACCTCCAACTATAAAATTTGCTTTAAAAATGAAAATTTAAAAAAATTAAACAGATTTTTATATGACTAAAACAGAATTTCTTCCAACAATAAATCATCATTACAGATTTTAGATTAATAATAATGTGGACCCAAACAAGGGCAAAATTATATTTTTTTTTATCTACTGATCGAAAATCAAAATCAAACTATAAAATGATCAAAAAATTCTGTATCATGTTTTTAAACAAAATTGTTTTGACCTACCAACTAAAGTTTTTATAATCAAAATCTGTAAAGCAAATAAAAATCAATCTGGCCTAAATAGTTGATGCATTTGATCAGACAACATTCAATGGTCCATTAAGGATGAGTGATTCTGCACTGTCAGTAACAGACAGTTTAAATTCTCCTGGGAACAAATTCAGAAAACAGACTTGGGCTATATAGAAGCACTGCACTGTCGTTATAGCAGCTGAATAAAAGCTTTCAAGGGAGAAGACATTATGGAACTTATCCCTTGTTCTGAAGCCAGTGATTTCATCTCAACAATATATGCAACCTTTGTTGTGGGTTTCACAAATGACTGCCTCTCTATCATGTAAACAAGAGCATATATTGTTAGGGATGAAAGCTCTGGAGTATGATTATACATATAAGCAGTGACTACAGCCATATCTTGCCAAGCTGACATATTCACTAATGTACGTTATTAATATTACCAAAGGTATGACAATTTTCTTCGCCAAAAATGTCAAACTTATTTCAATTTAACAAACCATATCAGTACATGAAAAGAATGGAATACCAAACATGATTTACAAATATAACTTTTTATGTTACAAAAATAACTTTTTATGTTACAATGTTACATGCTGTTTTAACCTATTCAGTTATGTTTCGACAGTTTAGCGAGGTCATGGCTGCAGTTAAGCGAGGTCTACACAAGATGTGATGAGGCTGCGTCTTACCGTGGTTGAGCGAGGAGGCATTGGACTCGGTATCGATGGACATGTCATTGACGTCTAGTTGGAAAACAATGGGAGGTGGTCAGATCGGGTTAACAACATGGGTTTGGGTTAACACACAAAGTTAGCACAGGGAGGTTTTGTTTTGTAAATTGACACTCAAAACATGTCCAAAATTATGCTGCAGTAAACTTTAACACAACAAAATTCCTCTGGAATTTTGTGATGATATTTAACCTTTTGTAATGAGTGAGTGAGTGAGTAAGGTTGTATGCCACTTTTAGCAATATTCCAGCAATATCACTGCAGGGTACACCAGAAATGTGTTTCAAACATAGTACCCATGTTGGGAATCGAACCCGGGTCTTTGGCGTGAGGAGCGAACGCTTTAACCACTACGCTACCCGACCGCCCCTCAGCCTTTTGAAAGTCAGGAGAAGTTTTCAAATTTGTTCTGTTTAAAAGAAATATCCTGATACTTGTGACGTTTGATTGTCAGTTGTTGACAATAATTTCCTCGGCTATCCAAATAATATGTTCATATTCACAAATGAAGAAAATTTGATGAACGAAAATAGTTTTGAAATACTGTTTTCTTGATTTTATTTTTGATCAATATTTCACCCTGTGACAGCTTTGAGTGTCTCCACATATAAACAAAGTCAAAGCATCTTGGCATTGCAACAATCCAGCATCAAAGGAAACAAAGCATCAACACCATGTCACATGACATCAACAACAACAAACAACTGTTTAGGGAAATAGCACAAAATGGCTGACAATGTTTATCCCACCTTATCAAAGCTTGTATTTAAGGCAACCTATTCTACTCATATTGTCTTACTGATATACAGTCCAACTGATTACAAGAACTATTTCGGAACAAAGCACCATGATTTTAAATGATATTCTAGATAGCAGAACATATGGAGAGTTTATGCAAAATATCAAACTGATGCTTATAAATACAAAACAATATATTTATGCAATAATGAACCAAAAAAATAAGGGATAATTATTTTGGGGGATATTTTATGAAATTGTGTGTTCAGTCTTCAATATATATGAATATTTGTGCCATAGCAGCAATCTCTCAGCCATAACATGACAGCCTGGAGAATATCACTGCACTGAAGATCGAAGCAAACCGGTGATCAATGGATTAAGCACCAAACCCCTCTTTCAGGCAATGGTGTCACACCATGTAGGATCTGATAGCTGCACTTCTTATAAGCCCCACACAGTCAGTAGCTATCCTGACAACTTTTTACTTTCTTAGAAATTAGGGGCGTTTGGTATCTGTTCTACCCCTCAGGGGGAGGACATTGACCTTGCACAGCTCAAAGGTGACCTCAAAACATGGGTCATTAGCAATGTTTACAAAGACACACATTACACAATTACAGAACATGACACAACAGCTGGGCCGGAATCCATGAAGCCACTGTGTAAGCTGGGAGTTAGGGAAAGGGCATAATTACATGTTTGTTAGTAGGTAACCAACCATAGCAGCGGGGCAGTCCTCTACCATTGTTGTGTTAGAAAACCTGCTTAGATTCAGTTAACAAATTTTCAGCACAGTTGAAGGTAAATAATGGACTGATGATCCTTTTTAGAAACAAAATTTCATTCAGTGTTAGAATCCAGGAAGAAAGTATTAAAATAAATGTGGGCTATTAGGATGTTTGGACATTAGATCAACTTGGGATAATATCTGAGAAAAACATACATCTGAAATGTAAATATGTTTTGTGGCTGGACAGTGTGTAATGGATGCACACTGTGGTGTGTTTGTAATATCAAACAGTTTAAAGCCGAATACACATTCCTGAAAGAGATGTGACAAGATATATAGGCTGAAGAAATGGATACATGTTGTGTGATGTAGAGTGGTCATGGGCATGAGGCCAAAGGGAGATAACCTACCTTCAACAAAGACTATGCATGACGTAGTTGCCTGCCCTCCACTGCTGACTGCCTTGCACTCATATTTGCCTTCATCTTCAGGGAACACCTCAACTATACACAGTTTACAGGTTGTGCCGATCATGCTCATTTGGAAATCCTGAAATAAAACAATACAGTATTATCTTCTATTCATTGGTTAACTGCAGAATAATACTATTTGAGAAATCTTGGTTATAATCTCCATCAAATTCTGTTTTATCATGTGAGTGTTTTTTTCTGATTTCAACAGTCTGGGAAGATTTTGCATGAGTTCAAACTAAACTAGGTTTCAGTGGTAAATACAGGGTCGAGACTATAAGTGAGTGAGTGAGGTTTAAGTCACATCACCAATATTTCAGCCGTATTGTGACTATCAAGGGTTTAACATAATAAAAAAAAGGTTTTTTTTTATAAAAACATCTAGACTATAAAGTTTGTTACATCTCCAAAGATGCTGATGTATTCCAAGACTATTCTGGGTGTGTTGATGTAAAACGAAAAGACGTGTGTCTGAGTTAGTTTAATGCCACTTTGAACAGTATTCCATTTATATCATTCATTTAAATTCTGGGAAAATATATCTGTCGTATATAAACATTTCAGGCTGTCAGCATAAACCACGACGTTTATCTTTCAACTCACCAAAATAATATTCTAATAACTGCCCCCTATTTCTAATTTTGAGAACGCCCTGGGCGTTTATTACATCGAGTACGGTACCAGGGACTCAACCTATGAAAAGGGGATCCTGGCATAACGAAGGGTTGCCACCCATACCATAAACACAAATACATGAACTATTTTTGGACCGTCATTGTTCACATTAATAATGTCTTTCTGACGACAAATTTCCATGCTGTTTTAAGATGACAAAAGAGTTAAAATTAATCATGTACTGTTTTATTGGCTTTATTTTATCATAAAGAAGCTGTGTTGTCACATGCAGTGATGTTTACGACAGTCCTACTATTAATACCGGCCCTATTGACACACCCTCCATCACTGTCATCACGCTCACATCGAGGCTGATGGACGACCCAGTGTCAGCACACAAACAATCCCACACACCACGTCATCATCACAACACTTTTAACAAGTTTTCTGTGATAATGTCTTTTGACAAGACTTTTTGAGAAGTATGTTCTATGATCTTGATATCAGAGGGATCAGTTAATCAGCTCACTCAATCTTAGTTACATAGTTTTTGTGAAAAATCATTAAAGTATTCAAAAGTGTAAGAACAGATTTAGAACCACTTTATCATGAATCAAATCAATAATTTGATATCATAGTCATTTCACAGGAAAATACTTTACTATGGATAATTCAAACAATATGATAATAATATAATTCAAACAGGCCATATTGTTTTTATGGTTGTAACAGTAACAAGCTTATATAACTTGAGAATATGGATTATATACCCCACCCCTCAACAATTTTCTAAAGTAAAAGTGCCTTTATTCCAAGTCATTATTTAATCCAGACTTGTTATGCCACCTGAAACTGAATCTATTCATCAACATTTCAAATTTACCTGAGTGTCGGGTATTTCTTCGCCATCTCTGTACCATGTGATTTGAGGTCGAGGGTCGCCACGGACCTGGCACTCCAGGTTCACCATGTCGCCATCACGACAGGACAGGTCCATGAGAGTCTTCACAAACTTGGGTTTCCTCATGCTGGCAACAAACATTCAACAGGTTCATTCAACAGGTTCATTCAACAGGTTCATTCAACAGGTTCATTCAACAGATTCCTCCAACCCTAGTGACATTGTTCATGACATCTTTTCTGCCATGTTTCCAAACGTAACACCAAAACCTTCTTCAAATTGTGCTCATGTGGAATCAAACCCAGGACTTCTACATAATCAGTGACCACACTACCTACTTGCACATGCACTTCCTGTTTTATCATGAATGTTATTGGTCAGAATCCTGACAGAAGACGTCTTTGACTGGAATTGTTGAGATATTTATCATTAATATTATTTTCTTACAAATCTGCACATATACATTCCCACATATAGCTAATGTACATTCAAATACAAAGAAATTGTAATCCTTGAAAAATGAAAAATATATATTATTCTGATTCTGATCTTTTTGCATGAAAAAAGGTCATGGAAACATCACAACACAAGCAAAGGAACTGAAAAAATCGTAATCCTTTACAACATCTTTATCCTCTCAACATGTAGACATTTTTAAGATCTATCAAATGGATCATTGTTAAAAAAAGGTACTTACTCTTCCTCCATTTCAACAACTTCTGCAACAAAAAATTAATCACAATTACAGCAGCTGTACTATCAATTTGACACATCAAAACAATTTTTGTAACATTCGAAACAATTTCATAATACACAACAAACCAAGGCCTCAAACCCCCAAAACATGGAACTATTGACCAATACCTTCACCTCCCTCCACAACACCGATGAAGATAAGCAACCTACGTGACACTGCCTCACAATGATGTCAATAGCACTGTCAGTCCAAAAGACCCCATCAATATTCCACCAGCAGAAATAAGCTTCATGTCGACAATCTGTCTTAATCTGGCATATTTACTCTGCACTCACAAAAAGAAATAATCTGGTAGTACTTTCTACTGTGATAACTCTAAGTGATTGTCTGACATTTCCATAGCAATAGATAACTGGATATTAAAAACCTATTAATATTTAAGTGTGTTATTCAAGAACTGATTTACTTTCCAATACACTGTGATGCTGCTCTTTGATATTTAGGCCCTGATAGATCAAAGGTTTGTTATGTCTACGTCCATCAAACAAACAATGCCAACTTGGTTCAATCAGGAGTGAAAACAGTGTCTACTTTTTACACACCTGATTATCGTTGTCTATTAATAATCTAAGTGTTCACTCATGTATTAAAACTGCCATGTAAATTTCCAAGGAACTTTAGAATCATTTGTAGAAAAACTGAAATGTTCAGTGATCTTTGCAGCTTTAACTTTCTTGCAATCTCCTTTGTCTTGTTTGAGCTGCCTCACAACCAGGTTAGACCCGTGAAGATCCGGGATAGAATAGGTCTTCAGCAACCCATGCTTGCCGTAAAAGGCGACTATGCTTGTCGTAAAAGGCAACTAATGGCATTGCACGTCACCCCCCGGGGGTTCCACTTGTGTCATTTTTAACTTCAGTGGGGTGGTGTGGGTTGGGTGGGGGGTTCCAATTGTGTCATTTATAACTTCAGTGGTGTGGTGTGGGTTGGGTGGGGGGTTCCACTTGTGTCATTTGTAACTTCAGTGGGGTGGTGTGGGTTGGGTGGGGGGTTCCACTTGTGTCATTTGTAACTTCAGTGGGGTGGTGTGGGTTGGGTGGGGGGTTCCACTTGTGTCATTTTTAACTTCAGTGGGGTGGTGTGGGTTGGGTGGGGGGTTCCAATTGTGTCATTTATAACTTCAGTGGTGTGGTGTGGGTTGGGTGGGGGGTTCCACTTGTGTCATTTGTAACTTCAGTGGGGTGGTGTGGGTTGGGTGGGGGGTTCCACTTGTGTCATTTGTAACTTCAGTGGGGTGGTGTGGGTTGGGTGGGGGGTTCCACTTGTGTCATTTGTAACTTCAGTGGGGTGGGGTGGGTTGGGTGGGGGGTTCCAATTGTGTCATTTGTAACTTCAGTGGTGTGGTGTGGGTTGGGTGGGGGGTTCCACTTGTTTCATTTGTAACTTCAGTGGGGTGGTGTGGGTGTGGGTAGGGTGTGGGAGTTCCACCTAAAAGCCTACCCAAAATATCACAAACACAATATGTAAACTATTATTATTTTACATTAACAACCAAATCAACATGTTATCATGGTAAACAATGACCATACAAATTGCCCTCAGATGTTAAAAAAAAGGGGGTGGCCACCCCAGAATCTCCAATCTGGATCTGCAACTGACAACCTTTCAATCCTTAAACTAAAAGAGGGAGGAGATAGTTCTGTAACTGACCTTCAAGCACCAGCTTGGTCTTCGTGGTGAGAGTTGTCTTGTCAGCCATCTTGGCTACACATGAGTATGTTCCAAAGTTTGACTTGATGAGGTTCTTCAACTCAAGGGTTTGAGTCCCATCAGGTTCAGAGGTCATCACAGCCTGGTGGCTTTTGTTTACCTGTAACGAGATAATGCAAATGCAGACAGGTAATCCATTAACCTTCATAGATAAGCAAAACAACACTTATCTTCCATTTCTTATACGGACATGTCATCAAAATCATTGACCTGACAATCTCTAGACTATCAATAACATTTTCTTTGGCGGTAGCCAAGACCAAGTACAACGTGAAGTATCTCACTGGCTCAAGCCAAGGCCAGGAGTAGGCCATGATAAATTAATAATTAGCTTGTCATCCATACCCACCAAACACACACCTCACATCACCTTGTTCTAACAGATAAAGGAAATCACAACATCCGTGCCTGGGTTTCTTTACCCAACGTACGGTAGATAAGCCGATCTCATAGATAAGCCAAGGTTTAAGCTTGGTCCTTGAAATCTGTATCAAACTGTTATGTGCGGTACATAAGCCAGACCCTCAACCTAAAACTATGTCTCATCATGATCCGTCATTGAAAATAGAATATCAACACATCCGTGTTGAATTATGCAAGTTAATCCTGTCGTTACATCATCGGTAATAAACTATCCGACAATACAGATATATAGTAAAACCTGTACTTAAAATAACACAATATCAGAATATAATATTATCATTCTTAGCAAAATAGAAATTTCAGATACTATTGTTTCTGATCATTGCATCAAAATTCTTTTCCGTTATATTATTGGGTATGTTTTAGCGTAATCACCTGTAGATTGATTGGGAGAAAACGTGTACAGCTGATTGCTATTCCGGCTTAGTTTACAAGACAATACACACGGTAATCTTCATAAAACAATGCCTAGTATAACAAGAATTACAATCTAAAGGGTATATTATATCATGTCTGGTGATGGTTAATCACAATTTTCACATTTTCATGGACAAAATTTGTTATAGCATTGTTCATTCACCTGAAGCGATACAACGCAGTGGTTTTTTATTTGATGAAAGTGTAACATACACAAGCCGACCACTTTCTGCAGAACCTTTTTTCTGGTCCTCAAAATTTGGCTTATCTACGGTAATACACCATATACACAGTTCAACCAAACATCCATGCTTCCTGTCAATCTCCTCCACCAACAATTAACATACACAGATATGCTTTGAACAGTTTGTTAAGAAAAATAAAACCCCAAAAATTATTATGCCTCTCCTCTAACTTCAAAAACAGAATAGGATAAAAAGGTAATAATTGAAGACACACATACACATTGCTATTTGAGCAGGACAATCTTTCACGCAATGTTTAACGCGATGTTCAACGCGAGGTTTAACGCGATGTTTAACCCCATATCACCTCCCCTCCCCAGGATATGTCAGATTGACAGCTTGTCAGAATACACAGGCACCACCCACCATTATTATAGAGTAGATATTTTGTATCATTGTCTTTAAAAGAAGACACCCATATATTTGCTTAAGGAAAAAGGTGCACTGACAAAACCTACACTGTATAGAGACCCATCAGTTATCATCAGAAAATAGTTTTAATTTAATCTGCCTTTCAATCTTGAAAGTGATCCATCCTAATGGCGTTAAGTTAATCCATCAGAAACCTGCTTTATAATGAACTCCAAAACAGTGGAAACAGCTTAAGGAAAGTACAACTGAACATAGCGTATTAACTACTATGAAAATATTTAACACTCACAAATGATTCTATAAAAACAAACATGACAATTATAACAGTGATAGTTTAATAATAAGTATCTTTGTATTACTAACTAACTAAAGGTGATTGATATGGGGTTTAATGTCGCATTCAAGATTATTGAACCTATACAAAGATGTGTATGTGTGTGCATGACTGCTTGTATGTATCTAGACTTATGCCAGTTTTATAGTCCTCCCCACTGAGATATGATGCTGCAGTTCTACTTGGATACCCCACTCAAATGTATTTTACTGAATCTGAGCCAGGCAAGATAAAAAAGTATCATCTTTTAAGGACTTTTGGTGAGATGTTATTGTAACTTGCAGTTTGGTTTGTTTGTCACTTATTGCCTCACTGAGCAATATTCCAGCTATATGATGGCTGCCTGTAAATAATCCAGTCTGGACCAGACAATCCAGTGACTGACGTAATGAGCAACTATCAACCCAATCAACAATGTCACAGAGCCTGATCCACGAAGTCACTTCTTATGACCAGCATTTGATGCTGGGGACCTATACTAACCCATAGGCTTTCCTGGTATTTCAAATATATTTCAGGAAAATTATTATCAAATGACAAGAAAATAATAAATCAAAATGGGCCCACATTCCAAAAACATTCCTGGTGACTAATCTATACATGACATGAACCTCATTACCTACAATTGCCAAGCATATTCCGACACATCTCTACAAGACGACAGGTTCTGCATACCTTAGTTTAGTGAGTGAGTGAGTCACAATTTAACATCACATCAGCATTATTTATAGTGACAAGAACAAGTTTTTATGCATACAAATTTAAGCAAAGAGCAAACTTTTTCGAATTTGTAATTAAAGTTATCCGACAGTTCATATAAAAGTGACCCTGACTTTGCAATACTTACATTTTTGGAACATATAACATTAAATTTACATGTATGGCTGAAATGTGTCAAAAAGGTTGATTTTTGAGTTTTTAAGAAGTATTTTGAAATATTTTTTTATCCAAGCCGATTTTCTTAGGAGACCTGATAATGACAGTACAACCAAAAAAAATAAATCATCTTATGTCATACTTTGAATCTGCATTTTCCCATTCACATTAGCCATTTTTTAGCATTTGATCAGACCAGAAGTCCAAAACTTGCAAGTGTAAGTAAGTAAAAAATACTAGTTGTCAACCATTTGAACATGTCTGATAACTTTCAAACCAACATTGTAAGCTTTCAATTATATTAAAACTTAACATTTCCAGTGGACTAGCTTAATGGCACCTCAATATTCAGTCCAGAGGAAGTCCTACCTGAATCTGTATGTAGATATTCTCTATTGCACTGTTTCCTATCAAGTATAGAAATATATACCCAATCTACTCCCTAGCAAACAACTGCCATAAATTTGATGACAACGGGGATTTGCTTGTGAACTTGTGACATGCATTCCCTGCCACAGGGGATTGTCACAGTGCGTCAGGTGGGAATTCATTTATGATCATACACACAATAGTAACACACTCCCAAATCAGTTAGCAGTCACCTTTTAACCCAACCATTGATAGCAAATAAATCTCCCTGGTCAATTTGTAATGCTTCAATGAATATGGACTGTCTTGAAAAACAGGATTTCTGATTTTATCTCGAAAACAACCATTATGGACTGAAGTCAAGGACATTATATGACGTACATTGACTGCATGATCTAAAAGCATGAATATATTATATATACTGACCAAAAAAGGTTAGGGGTCATGACTATTTGGGGGATATTTTTAAAAATTGTGTGATCAGTCCTTTCACTACAAATAATATTCGCTAAAATATTCATGATTCCAAACCCTTTTGGTCAGTATATAACATGTTAATGAAAATGTATTCTTGCTAAGGGCAAATATTTCCTTGGATATCAAAAACTACATTTATAACAAAATACAAATATCAAAAATAAAATATATATAAACAAATTTAAATATAGGACTGAAATCATGTAATCTAAACAAATACCAATTATTGATATGACATTAATCTCTACCTCTACCATAGTTAATGTAAACGCAAACAAAAAAATATTTGTTCCCCAATGCATCATTCTCATCATGTTTTGGTCCTTTTGTCTTCAGATATTATTATCATTTTTATACACGATTACACACTGAAGATACAAATAAACAAGGGACACGGTAAACCCAGACACAAATTAATGACAAGACACAAAGTAATTATAAATCAGCCTCAACAAACCTTACTCCCTGATCTCAGCAGTAGATGTGCATAACATGACTGACTGCACAGTGTGTGCCTTGTACCCACTGTTTGTGAATACCCATGTTTACCCAGGGAGGGCCTGTTATACAGGTTAGAGGCACACAACACACTTATCATACAGTCTTGTGTCACCATTGCACAATACACACACACACACACACACGTTCTGCTGTTCTCGCGCGGGGATAACTGCAGCTTGTGTTCATCAGTGTTAGTTTAGGAGTTTCAAGAGACTGACGGTATACTGAGTATTGTTGCACCACAATTCGTATATTGTAGGAATTACAAAGAAAAATGTGATATTGAAGATAAAATATGTTTGAAGTAAATTCTTTTTTGTAGGTCAGTGAAAATTATTACAAGGTTCAACTGAATGAAAGTATTTGACAGACACTTCAACAGGTGCAAGGTCACAACCCATTACGGAGTAGTCATGTGTTCCTCAGTCTAATGTGGACCTGTGAAGATCCGGGTTAGAATAGGTCTTCAGCAACCCCTGCTTGCCGTAAAAAGCGACTATGCATGTCATAAGAGGCAACAAATGGGATTGGGTGGACAGGCTCGCTGACTTGGTTGATGCATGTCATTGTATCCCAATTACGTGGATCGATGCTCATGATGTCAATCACTGGATTGTCTGGTCCAGATTCGATTATTTACAGACCACTGTCATATAGCTGGAATATTGCTGAGTGCAGCGTTAAACGACAAACAAAACAACAACAACAAAAAACAGTTTAAGCTTTCCATTCTGAAACTTGAACAATATCTCCACATTTGCACATAAAGACACATTCCCTTTCCCAATAATAAAAATGTGGCCACGTAAACAACTGCTGACACAGCAGTTTGTTGTAATACCAAATCCTAACCCCACAAACATCTGGTAGCAGAAGAGTACATACCTTCTTGCCATTGAGTTCCCAGTGGACGTCCTTGACCCCCTGGGGGGTGCCACAGGTCAGGGTGGCACTGTCCCCCTTGGAGGCGGAGACTTCTGCCGGCAACTCAGTAGCAAACTTGGTGGCCAGAACTGGGGATAAACAAGAGGAGGTGATGGGTCCGTGACATCACAGAGGCTTTGACCATATTGCTGATCAAACCTGGTTGGTCATTTTGTAAACAAAACATTTGTCATATATTTAATATAAAATGTCATATCAGAGTATAACCAGTCTCAATTATCCGCCGAAACCGTTTCTATTTGGCATAACAGGCAAAATAGTGGTCACATTTTTATGAATCAATCACTGAAGAGTGAACATAAAAGGTGCTTCTGTCTAAATGTCAGATATTGACAACAATTAATCATTTAAACAAAATCATTATATGTCATAACTGCCAGATTTTTGTCATAAGGGCTTGAGTGAGTTTGGTTTAACACTGTTTCTGACATGATACATAATTCACATGAATTTTTCAGGCTACAATATAACAGTGCGTCCTCATTCATGTTTCACCATCTCACCTTGTATGGTGAGTCGAGCAGCACAAGACTTGGTGCCAGCTTCGGATGTTGCCGTGGCGACATATTGTCCTTCATCAGACTTCACAATGGCAGATATTCTCAATTGGTGCTTGTTGCCCTTGGCAACGATTCTCAGACAGTCATTGGGTGTTACAGGTTTGCCGTCCTTGAACCTGATTACAACAAAAACTTATGTTTAAACCAACCTAATGTGAATTTGAACACATTATTTAGTTTCTAAAACGATTCTGTCTTTCGTGTAATAATAAGTCTATGCACATATGTTTTTCGAAAGAGACAACTAACAGAATCGGTGGTCAGACTCACTGACTCGGTTGACGCATGTCATCGTATCCCAACTGTGTATATCAATGCTCATGATGTCAATCACTGGATTGTCTGGTCCAGACTCAATTACTTACAGATCACCATCATATAGCTGGAATATTGCTGAGTGTGGTGTTAAACAACAAACAAAGAAACAAAAGCAAACAAAAACAATGCTAAAACCAATGTGAATTTAAGAAAATAAGGATTTCAAATGTTTGGCCAAAACTATTTTGAAAGTTTCTACATCTTACCATGCAACCTCTGGGGTGGGCTTGCCGGTGACACTGCACTCAAACACAGCCTCACTACCTGCTGGGAGGGTCAGGTCATTTGGGGTGCTTGTGAAGTTGGGTGCCTCCTTCCCGGAGTCATCAGCTACAGTAAACAGGTTACAGGTGTAAACATACAGGTGAGAATCACAAATGGAACTAGTCATTAAGGATTATTCATTAAGAAGCTGGTGTAAGAAATAATGTTATTAAGATCATCAATGTTTTGTTATAGGTTCAGATCAATGTTAATTTTTCTTGGAAAAATAACATGATTAGTTAAATTTAGTCTTTGATTAAAAATGGTTGCTGGTGAAGTATGACATCACTGTTTTATTCAAAATAATTATAGTTAATGAGGTAAATATAACAGGATCAGTCATATTTCAAATAAATAAAAATAAAAGTCAATCAATTGGGGGCCATACCAGGAAGGGATGTTGTAGCTTTGACATCATCAGAATCTGTGGAGAGAAGGGTCAAGGTTGTGCAAGCTCAGGGTCACAGCAAAACAGGGGCACTTGTGCATTGCATGGATATCACGGATATCAATATAGAAAATAGAATATTGATCCCAGGGAAACTGAGTGATTAAGCCAAGTTAAAGAGATAGTTTTATGAACATACTTACGTACTCATTATGATTGTTATAAATGTTGTTTCATTGTTATTGTTATAAACATTGTTATCAAGTGGACATTATTATTTCTGTAATGTATGTATCAGTTTATTATTAGAACATCATATTGATTAATCATTACTGACAGAAAACCAATGTAATCTTATATATTCAATAATTTAATGTTTCAAAAATGTGACCTTAAAAAATGATAGTTATTACTTTTCATCATGTTACTTTCAAAATAATAACATAAACTATATCACACAAAGGAAAAAGATAGACATGTCTAACACTACGCTAAAAGATAAGCAACTTGATATATGGTCACACACTAAAGATCTATTGAGAATAAATAGTACACAGGCTAGCTTCCTCTAGACACACTGCATCATGGGATAGATGCGACCTTACACAAGGTCACTTTAGTAGCCAGACACACTTATATATGTGAAAGTCAGATATTGCAGAGGGCATAGTTCGTAGAATCTTGGGAAAGGAGGGCATATAAGGTGAGACTATATGTACCTTGAATAGTAACTGTGCACTGACAGGCTGTGGAACCGAGGGCATTGACGGCAACACATTTGTACACTCCGCTGTCGGAGATCTCAGTGTCATAGATTTCTAGGTTGTGGCAGCCAGCGTCAAAGAAGATTTCATATTTGTCTGAATGAAAACATACAAGTTATTGTCACCGATACTACATCAGTGGAGACAGGAAGTCAGCGTATTACAGCATTATGACAGAAACTGATGTGTCAGATCTGGAGCAGGCAAACCAGTGGTTGATAGTGTGAGCATCAAGCCATGCCAACAAATAGGAAATCACAAACACAGCTGAAATTGGTCTTAGTATCAGAGTCCTATGTGATTATCTAATTAATCGCAGCTTCCATTTCAGATGAAGCAATATTGGGCACAAATGAATATATCTGACACATAACCAAAGACTGAAAACAGTGGTCTCCCTGCTCAGGTAACCATGGAGATTATTTGTGAGATCAGAATTTGTGAAAAGAAACTAGAACCATCACCATTTGCACCCAAATTAGAATATATGTATACATCAATATTTGCAATAAGGCAAATTATTATTATTTTTTGTAATGACTCACCCTACAAAAAAGACAGATACTTTACAAAACTTGCTGTCAGACATCTTCTTACCTAACACTAATGTCCTAATTATTTGAACAAAATATGATGGCATAAAAAGATGGAGAAGAAATTATGAAGACAAATATGCATTTTGAGAGAATTTTGTGAAGTGTCAGCATCACTGGTTCAGTAGTTTCTGAGGAGATGTTTCCAGCAGACACCATATACCAGACATACAAACTGGCCATCGATAATCTTACTTAACTGAATGTCAAGAACGGCATGAAATCAAGGTGTATAGTATGCTTGTACAATATCCACTGGGTTAATCCATCCCATCATGTCAACTGATTCCTGAACATCAGATACTATTCTCCTTACTGGTATACTGACTTAAAACAAGAAAACTGCATCAGCACCCACCTCCTTGTGTGATTTCCTTCCCATCCTTGAACCATGTGATATCAGCCACAGGGTCGTCAATCACGGAGGTCACGAGGTTCACAAGGCTGTCGACTGGTGCCTGGACATCGGTCAGTTTCTTCTCAAACACAGGAGGACTTCCTGTCGCAGCAGACACCTGCGGAGATGACGGGGCAGCGAGTCTGCCCATGTCAACAAATCCTCCCACGAAGCCCTCTTCTTCCAGACCCTTCTTGGCCTGGTCTGCACCCTCGTCGGAGTATTGGACAAGGTCGATGCCGCCACGGAGGATGCAGTCCAGTTGGACATCCACGCCCTCCATGACGTCAATCCTGGGTGGCAGATGCTTGATGAAGAAAGGTGCTGGAACATTGATGGTTAAATGTCACACACAGTCCTGTGTTTCCAAACCCAGTTCCAGAAGATTCTTAGCACTATGACAAATCCAGGGTGAAGTTTGAATATAAATCTATGAAAAACACAATGTTAAGATTTCATTCTGGACCTGGGGCTGTTAAACAGGTCTTAGCGCTATGATGATCTATGTCTGTGTTAGAGTTCGGAAGTATGATCATCTTTGGGATGAACTCTCTTTGCGGAATTGAGACCTGGACCCCATTCTACAAAACGATCTTAGCCTACGATTGTCGTAAGTCTATGTTTAAGTAAGGGGGTTACGATTGTCTTAGCACTAAGATTGCTTTGAGAAACAGGGCCCTGGACACCAGGCCATACATTTGACAGACTTAAAATAGTGTTACTCAATACATACATGTGCAAAGTTATGGTCAAAGGCCTTGCTCCAGAAACAATCTTTGCACTGTGACTGTCATAAGTCTATGTCACAACAGTTATGACTAAACAGTAAGACCATTCCGGAGTGCTCTGTGCATATTTCCGATAAGACTTGACATAACTTTGTGGAATTGAGCCTACAAGAACACACTGTAATTAAAAACTGACGCCATAATTGACCACGCCTGAGACTATGAAATAATTAAACAATCAAATAAAAATCTGTACAGATTGCAGAGGTTACATGAATGATACACAGAAATTAAGAAAAATATCGGAATATGTCATATCATAACCATACATATGTATGAGTGAGTGAGTGAGTTGTGTTTAACGACACTTTTAACAGTATTCCAGTTATATCGCGGAGGAAAGTCCGAAGTGATGCAGGTCTCAGACGTTTACCACTTCGGTGAAACCCACGAGCACGGGTATGGTGCTGACAAACCTAGAAACATAATCGGGGCGAACCGGGATTTGAACCCACAATCATAGGTTTCTGGCGTGCCCAAGGCATGTAACTCTGCACAGCAAATTGCGGCGCCCTAGGCGACTGGGCCACCTGTGCCCCCTACATATGTATGAAGAGGTGAGATTCACTAGTGTACAGTAGCACATATAAAGAAATTCACAAAATATTCACACAGAATGAATTGTTAATTCTCCTGAATAATCGTGATTACTTTGTAAATTTCTATATATATATGTGCTACTGTGCACAATGAATCTTACCTCTTCATATATATATATATAAACATGTATATGAAAATAATTTTCAGAAAATAATAAAGATTTAAATCATTAATTAAATACATATATTCATGGGTAAAAATATTTGTTCATACAATCAGGTGATGTGCATAGATTATTGATTTTCCAATAATAGGATTATTTGCAATAAAGTATTGGTAAATAAGTTTTAGTAAATGAGAAATAGTATCCAAAATAATATTCAACTCATTAGTTCTAAAAGAAATCAATACTAATTCAGAGTTCATTATTTATTTGATTATTAATTCAATAATCTGATGACAGTCAAAGATGTGCATAGAGTACAAAATAATACTTTGTTAGAGAACATGCAAAGTGTATAGTGCTTACACATCTGAAATGAAACACATCTGAGTTTAAGAAGTTAGGAAAGACCAAACAATTTTTCCCTTGTATTACGGATTTAGCATCCCCCTTGCCGGACACAAGGAACAATCCATAAAAACAAGCAAAAAGGAAGTTTGGCCTTTGTATGGAAATAATTAATTCTGAAGATGAGTTGTATAACATAGAAAGGTTTACCATATTTTCTTGACAATAGTGCGCACACAAGCATGATGCATGGCCCCCTCCAGCAGAGGGGGTATTTTGGAGAGATTTTTTTTTTCGAGTATTATGTGCAGTAAAAACTAAATCGTATCCCTTCAGGCGAGTGAGTGAGTGAGTGAGTATGGTTTTATGCCGCTTTTAGCAATATTCCAGCAACTTCACGGCGGGGGACACCAGAATTGGGGTTCACACATTGTACCCATGTCGGCAATCGAACCCGGGTCTTCGGTGTGAACACTTTAACCACTAGGCTACCTGACCCCCCCCTTCAGGTGAACAAACAGGTACAAACAAACTTGGTCAATAAGAACGTGAAATGTGCAATAAAACATCATAAGACATAATGATTTACCATTAAAATTGTATTTCTTGTTCTGCTAGGCATTGTTTTATATGCAGAGATTAAGATGACTGTGTGTATTTTCTCGTAAACTAAGCCGGAAATAACAATCAGCTGTACATGTCAGTACAGATTTGCTCACATGGTATCACCAATGTTACATGCTCACAGGAATGTATTTGCATTGGGAAAACACATCACAGCTCACTGTAGTCATGTATCATACATCCCTGTATTTTGAGGAAAATATTGTGCACTATTCTCAAGAAAATATGACAAATGTTGATTAAATATTGTGAAGTGACTGGTATACTGTCAGACAGAGAGAGAGAGTTAACCAGAGTGATATGGTTAGACATATTAACTAGACTACAACATTGTTAGGTGCTAGGAAGATCTACATTTTTATACCTTGTGGGGGTTTGCTGGTTCCATCTGCGAAGATCAACAGGCAATGTTCCAATAAATTCCATTTACCCATTGCAGGCATAAAAGTTCTTTAAGCCACTATTAGCAATATTACAGCTATTGCATACCATGGACACCAAGAATGGCCTTCACATATTGTGAAGAATCGAACCTGGGTCTTCAGCGTTACAGGCAACGCTTTAACAATGAGGCTACCTCATCACCTCTTATCACACAGGAATTGTTGGATGTGGTTTCAGATTTTCAACCATGACCATGTCGCTCTGTACTCCTGTTGAAGGTAATATTTGTACTTAAGTCTGTACCTAAGTCTGTACTCAAGTCTGTAATAGATGTTAATATTATGAATGTACCCACCTCTTCTGAGTTCAACAGGTGCACGATCCCTGGGTGTGTACACAGGCTCAACATACTCCTCACTGAAAAATACAACAATATTTGTAAGCATTAACTAACCCCTAGTTTTGAGGTGAGGTGAAATGGGGTTTAACGTCGCGTCCAAGATTATTGCACTTATATAGCGACATGCATGCACGTGTATGTGTGTTTGCTTGTACTAGTCCGGACTGATGCCGATTTATAGTGCTAGCACACTGAGATAGCATGCTGCAGTTTAACATGAATACCCCACTCAGACACAGTATACTGACTCCCAGCCGACCAATCCTTGTTTTAGCCCCTTAATGCCGAGCGCCAGACAGGGTAACAACAAGTACATCTTTTAACGTCTTTTGGTATGACGCAGCTGGGGATCGAACCACGGATCTTCCGTTCTCCGGGCGGACGCTCTACCATTAGACCACAGAGGCGGACCCCTAGTTTTGAAGCTATTAGTCTTACTGGGAAGAATTTTATGTAAATAAGTTTGGATGTATGGCACTTTGAACACATGTTCAGTTATATCAAGGCGTGTCGGCTTAATATGGGAGGAAAGCCGGTCATAGATGTTTACCACTTTGGTGAAACAGGTATGGTGCCGACATTGAGGCAAATCTGGGATTCAAACCCAGGACTAGAGGAAGCTAGCACTACTAACAGAGGCATACAGTGCTCCATCATCATTTCTAGGTAAGTTTTGAAATTCAATAAACTAAAACTAAACTATCAAACGAACATTATAAGTTGAAATTTCATTCAAATTAATTGAACATTTTTTTATGGATAGCAACTTCTTTTTTGTATTGACATTGCAGGCTGGCTACTTCTTGCCCCCTTTCAGATGATTCTAGTCAACAAAGTTATATCCCCCCAGAATATGTCATGTCTTGTTCTACCAACTTGTGAATGCCATTCAAACACTTCATTTTTTTACACACAGTATACTGACCTTTCTGGATCTTTGAGATTAATCTTGACAAAGCAGGATGTTTCCACAGAGCCAAAGACGTTTGTTGCCCGGACGATGTACTCTCCGGAGTCAATGGTCATGGCAGATGGGATCTCCATTGTGTGCAGTGTTGCACACATCATGATGCGGTGCCGCTCGCCGTATGACAGCTCGCGGACATTCTTGTGCCAGGATACTGGAGGAAAGGAACTCAAAATAAAACCTCATTCCTATGTCTGTTTTAAGGCTGTCAGTAGCAGAACCAATCATGTATGAATGAATGAGTTAGCGAGCTGATATTTAAAGTCACAGCAATATGACTTGTTCTACATTTATGTCAAATTAAACTTGCAACTTGTTCAATATCATACCCTATAAGTGAGTGAGTGAGTATGGTTTTACGCCGCTTTTAGCAATATTCCAGCAATATCACGGCGGGGGACACCAGAAAATGGGCTTCACACATTGTACCCATGTCGGGAATCGAACCCGGGTCTTCGGCGTGATGAGCAAACGCTTTAACCACTAGGCTACCCGACCGCCCCTCATACCCTATAAAAACTGGGGCCATTAAAAATATATAATGTAATCTGAAAGTTAAGAAAGTGGATTGCCAATATGAGATCATAACCTGAAAAATATATATATATATAAAGGACGTCAAGGCTGTACGTGACCCGTGAAGATCCGGGGTAGAATAGGTCTTCAGCAACCCATGCTTGCCGTAAAAGGCGACTATGCTTGTCGTAAGAGGCGACTAACAGGATCGGGTGGTCAGGCTCGCTGACTTAGTTGATGCATGTTATTGTATCCCAATTGCGTGGATCGATGCCCAAGATGTCAATCACTGGATTGTCTGGTCCAGACTCGATTATTTATAGCCTGCTGTCATATAGCTGGAATATTGCTGAGTGCGGCGTTAAACAACAAACAAACAAACAAACAAGGCTGTATGTGAAGTAATGTACTTACCAACAGGTGTGGGGAATCCCTCGACAGCACAGTCAAGGCGGAGCTTCTGTCCCTCGGTCACCTCAAGCTGTCTGGGTAGCATGATGGAGAAGTATGGTGGTCGGCCAGGCTCTGTGATACGCTGCAGGGGGTCGAACTCGACGTCAGGGCCATAGCCCAGACGCATCAACTCATCCTGCGAGGGTGGTGAGGGAGATTTTTCTGGAAAGAAGGTAAAATAGGGTATCATTGCAACTTAAAGTTCTCTTTGACTAAATGTTTGAATGAATATTATGGCATTGGACAATTAACTTTTTTATTAAGGTATTATTTGGGGTTGGGGTGGTGGTACTTTGAATACAGAACCACAAACAATTATTGTACGGATTGTGAAATATAATCATTTTCATTGAACACTATTATTTCTACCTGCCTGCTAACAAATTTCAGTCATTTGAATCCATATCACTTTCAAAGATAAATATTGTTTTGAATTCTTGTTCAAATAACAATCATTATAAGAAGGCAAGTAACTCATTGATATTTAACTCGAGGAATCGAGTACCACTTTCATTACACACGTTTCTTCACCCTACAAATCATAGATTAAAGATATGACACTAATTAAACCATTATGATTATGTCACATTAATGTTGTTGCAGTTGGAACTGCCAACTCACCAATGACTCTGAGTGACCCGGAGCACTTGCAGCGGCCAGCCAGACTGTAGGCCACACACACATAGAGCCCAGAGTCAGAAAGACGGGCATTCTTCACAACAAGGCGGGCCTTGCCGTCCTCGTCCGACTCGATGTTGATTCTGGAACTGCTGAAGACTTCTCTAACATCCTTTTGCCTGGCATTCACAAAATGGAAAATCAATATTAGTGTGAAATTTTGGTACATCCAAGGAAAATAATTGGTCAAATATTTGTAGAAAAGCTTAAGTGTTCAGATGTCCTTTTGACTGGCCAACTTCAACATAAACAAGTAGACAGGCAGTGGCTGATTTTTTTAAGGCTGTGATTGGATGACTACTAAAAAGCATTCATTGGCTCTTGGAATCAAATGACAACAAATAGTGGAACAATAAATACCAAATCATCAGCACCAGCATCATCAGCATCAACAGCAACATCAGCAGCAACTTTGTTATAATTTATATGGCCCCAAATAATCTTTCCAGGTGTTGAGTGAGTAAGTACATTAAACATCACACCGAGATGTAGACATGTGGCCATGTTTATTTACATTCATAATTAATGATACCTATAACCAGATACGGTGCAGAATGTACCCCATCTTTTGGCCCCCATCTTCTGTTGACAAAACGTGCTAAGCTTGCTGCATGAGCCAACAGTGTAACCAATTCCTTTTCCAAATGTACTATTGTGTCTTACCATTTGAATGAGGGTGATGGTTTGCCAGTGGCGGTGCACTCAAACACAGCATCCTCTCCCTCCCTGATGCAGATGTCACCCAGGGGGTTCTGGAAACGGGGTCGCTGGTCAAACTCGGGGGACATACGGTCCAGGCCTGGGGTAAAGTAATGAAGGTATTGTCAATACAGTTATGTGGAAAAAGATTACTTATATCCTTGCATTTTAATGAAATTATTACATGGATAAAGGGTTGTGTACATACACTGCACATCAAGACTGGCACTGCAGGTGACGGTGCCCTCGCAGTTGGAGGCTTCGCAGGTGTAGCAGCCGCCGTCGGATGTTGCCGTCCTCAGGATTTCCAGGGACAGCAGACCGTAGTTGTTCTGTAAACACCAGGAGAAATTATAGTTCCTCCACACAGTCTTCTAAAGCCACATACAAGTTAATAGTTCTATCTCTGTTATGATGGAGTGTCAATGGATTGTCTCTGTGCTATGGTAGTGAAAGTGAAAGAATCTCCTTCATGCTATGCCAAAATCAGCACCCATTGTGTCCATCTGATACCCAATAGGCTTCAGGGACTTCAGGGGCTAGGGCTTCAGGGGTCTTATTCTGCCCCAGGAGTCCCACCTCATGTAATATATTACCCAGACCTAAAATGATTTAGTGTAATAACTTTACAATATTGGAGCATTTTAGAGATTCTTGAAGCTGGTTGGTCAGTTAAAGCCACGTGACATACAATCCTGTGAACAATCCAATATGATGTCATCACTTGTTCATGACATCACAGATTGATAACAACTGGTAAACTTCATTAACACTTGTTTGTAGAGTTTACATGTGTTACTAATGTAGAGAATAACCCACTGAAAACACACAATACTCCCTGCCCAATAACTGAATGATGAAAGACACATTCATTCACTCAGGACAGATAATCTGAAGGTCCTCTTGGCTCACTGGTTGTTCTCCACAGATAACACATCTACTTGATGTCTAGCCACAGTCAGCAATATTCCAGTTATATCAAAGCAACCAGAAATAACCAAATCTAAAATCAGAACCTTTTCTGCCTGGTATCCCCACAGTGTTTCCTGAATAACAAGATGTCCCTTACCAGGATGGTGTATCTGGTCATGTCGGTGATGTCCTGGCCATCCTTGTACCACTTGATGGTGGGGTCGGGGATGCCAGTGACGGAGCAGGCCAGTCTCACATGGCTGTTCTCCAGGACAGACTTGTTCCGGAGCTTGACAGTGAAGTCTGGTGCCATCTGGAATCGGTATTGTTTGGTCGGCGCTGCAGTCACTCTGGTGGTGTCTTCTCTCTGGATCTCTTGATCAGACACCTCTGCAATACAAGATTCATTAAATCATTACATGCTTCGTATTTGACCCTGATTAAGTGTATCACTTGCAGCATGAAGATCTTTTTCCTGCTCAGTGAAATCATAAATTGTTTATTAAACCTGTCTCTGATGTTTATCTTGCTGTCACACATCATGACTGCTGTTAATTCCATTACTCTACATTCAATTCTGATTCATCTCTACTCCACACCATCAAGCATTATAACTCTCTGTGTCAGTTTCAGTTTCATGTTGTATATTGCCGCACTCAGCAATTTTCCAGCTATATGACGGCGGTCTGTAAATAATCAAGTCTGGACCAGACAATCTAGTGATTGACATCATGAACATCGATCCGCGCAATTGGGATACAATAACATGCATCAACCAAGTCAGCGAGCCTGACCACCCGATCCTGTTAGTCGCCTCTTACGACAAGCATAGTTGCCTTTTACGGCAAGCATGTGTCAGAAAAACTCCATTACTATCAACATGTATAAATTCGAAAGGAAATGCCCAGCCTTGTTGATGATGTTGGAGATTTAACAAGTGCTTACGGAGGATCCAACCTACTTCACACTGGCTTCCTGATCCACCCAAATCATATCACTATGGAAATATAGCTTCAAGCAGGGAATAATTTTACTGATGTGTATGAAAACTACAATTACAAACCTGACTATGTCTAAGTGAGTGAGTGATCGAGCATTGAACCATGAACCACCAATGTCACGTACCTGACAACCATATGGTCCAGGAGATGGGAACTAATTGAGAGACACAATGCACTTACTCTGTACACGGATTCTGGCCTCTGTAGAAGCAGAACCTGCCTCATTGACAGCACGACACATGTATGACCCTGTGTCGTCTTTGGTGGCGCCATCAATAACCAGAATGTGAACGTCGTCATCCTCCTGGATCATCTCGTAGTGGCGACTGGCCTCGATCCTCTGTCTGTCTTTGTACCTGGAAGGAGAGATGACTCCATCAGCACACAACAGCCACAGTTGGAGTCCACTTAATTGTTTACTGCTGACACTCTTTATTGCCAGCTTGAAGGCTTTTTTTTTCAAATAATTGTAATGCTCATCCCAAGAAGCAATATTTCAAAATAGACATACAACCTTACAATGGTTGAATGAAAGAAAGATAATTACTTACTCAAATAAAAGCAACAAAACCCTTTTCATAATCAAAAGAAATCTCTACTGACAGCAGAGTTGATGTTATGATTCAGACAATACCATGAGCATGTCTTTACAAATCACAAAACACTGAAATTATGGTAGACAGGTTATACAATCTTTTGTTACACAAGACATTTCTCTTTTTTAAATTTTGTTTTTTTTAATGATGATTTCATATGAGGAATATAGCTAGGTACTCTTGTCTATTTTGATAATCTGAATGAAAAGTTTGAATAAAGTCTCTTCCAACACCTCCCACAGTCGTCACTTTGAGTGTATGATTCAAGTTCTTTTGAAGACTTTAAGAAGAACTGAATCCACTCAACTAATCAACTCTAACAGTTTACTTTCAGTCAGATCAGAGAGTTATGATTTCTTACCATTCAATCTGTGGCTGTGGCAGTCCGGTGACGCGACACTTCAGTTGTGCCTTGCTGCCCTCAGTGATGGTCATAGCATCCAGTCCTCGTGTGAACCGAGGCTTCTTGGAACCTTCTGGCACCGAGTCTGTAGCAGAACAACAGTGATATCACAGCAAGGTGCATGAGTTCAACAATAACAATGCTTCGCATCATCTTACTGCACAAGGACATAGAAAAAACAATGTGTATCCCACAGCCTTATGGCCTCTGGGTCTTCAAGCATCCTGCATTTCCAGTTCTAAATAAATGACCTAGCATCAAACATGATTTTGAAATATAAATCTATTCCCATGACAGAAAATATCTCGCCTATATTTTACTGGCGACAATAAACAATTTCTGAAACTTACCGTATTTGACGTAATAAGCGCCCAGGGCGCTCTCAAAATTAGAAATAGGGGGCTCTTATTAGAATATAATTTTGGTTAGAGAAAGAATAGAGTTGAAAGATCGTAAATTTTGTGGTTTATGCTAACAGTCAGAAATCATACAAAAGAAAAGTCTGTGCGTATTATACACGACAGATATATTTTCCAGAATTTAATTGCCCATAATTAAAAGTGCATATAACACAGGAGTGTGTATTATACACAAATAAATAAGTGTACATTGATCAATTGAAGTGTTTCTAAACAAATATTGCCGTGGGCGCTTATGAGAGCGGGGCGCTTATTACGTCGAATACGGTACATCCTGTGACAGAGACACATCTGGCATTTATTTTCATCGAGACGATAAACAAGACTTACCAAGCACCTGGACGTCGCATGAGCACTGTGTTTTGCCAAATGCATTTGTAGCTTGGCAGCTCCATTCTCCTGCATCCTCCAGTCTGAGATCGCTGATGATGAGACTATACACGTCCTTGTCCTGTTTCAGTTTGAAGCGACCTCCAGCCGACACCTTCTCATCCCCATGATAGAAGTCTACCTCGGCTTCAGGTCGGCATGTCACTGTGACAATAAATGAGACCAGTGAAGATTCTATCTTGATATAAATAATTTCTACTAACATTGCTGAAAGATTCAGTCATAGATCCACCTTACAACAAAGTGTTCTGCATCTCTAAAAGTCTAAAAGTACATTTTTATCTAACATGATGACACCACAGTCTTTCCAGTTGTTGAATCGGTACCCGGAAGGACTAGACACTATCGAGGCTGAGCACTGAGGCAGCTGGAGTTATATGCAACCAGGGAGCCTGAGCTATGGCTTGATCTTAAATCCATCATATCAAGACATAATGTGACAGTGTTCTAGCATGCATGTATGGCAGGATGAGGCATAGAATGAGTGGATGGCCTCATACATCAATAGTACAGATAAACCATGGCCACCTGTTCATTGTCAGGTCAGGATCAGACAACTGGTGGTTGAGAGTATGAGCAACATCCAACACCATCACAGCCCCACAGTGAGCCAGGGCATACAAATGGGTCAAAACATATTAGCATCTTGCCAAAAATTCAGTATAAAAACTACACAAACATCTGTTCTTCTTCAACACAAGGATAATGTTTCCTCCACCAAACATACCTGTGACAGTCCCAAAGTGTCACAGTCCCTTGTCAGCATCCAGCAGTGAGCCAGAGCATACAAATGTGTCAAAATATATTAGCATCTAGCCAAAATTCTGAAAGAAAAAATGTCAAGGTCTATTCACAAACATCTGTTCTTCCTCCAACACCAGGAGCATGTTTCCTCCACTGAACATACCTGTGACAGTCAACTCAATGGAGTCTCCCACTGGTGCTACTTGGTCGATCAGAGGCAGTGTGAACTCTGGTGGGATGTCGGCCTCAACTTCTGGAACTTCCTTCTTAGGTTGTCTGGGGTGAGAAATGAAGATGTCAATGAAGATGTTACACTGATTGGGGTGTTCCAGGAAATGGCATAAGCCATCTCAGGGGATAGACTCTCATCAGCATCATATAAAGGAACAAGGATTCAAGCATCTGAACACTTAATCTACAACTTTTGTGTTTGTTGCTTAATGCCGCACTCAGCAAAATTCTAGCTGTATGATGGCAGCCTGTAAATCGAGTCAATCCACTTATGACCAATGATCCTCATCATCTGTCCATGTTGACACACCATCAATCAAGTCACCGAGTCTATACCCAATCAATTAAGTCACCTCATAGGTGGGTTGGGATAATTTTTAACCTGGCATCCCCACAGATGCTTTCCTCCTCATTTTCCAGGAAGAGTGAGTGAGTGAGTGTGGTTTTACACCGCTTTTAGCAATATTCCAGCAATATCACGGTGGGGGACACCAGAAATGGGCTTCACACGTTGTACCCATGTCGGGAATCGAACCTGGGTCATTGGCGTGACGAACGAACACTTTAACCACTAGGCTACCCGATCGCCCTTTCCAGGAAGAAATGGATGATGACTTAGTCATTAAACTTAATACCGGTCTAACCTACATTTGACAATAAATACATATCACCCCATCAGAAGGCCAACTAGTTTGAGGCGACCATGTTTCCTTGAAGGAAACTTCCATAATCATACCATGTCATTCATGACTGAGATAGTACATTCCCACCTTATCCTGTACCTGATATTCTACAAGAATAATGGAATGAAGGTCACTAAAAATGCTATTGATTGGCTAAAATATTCCAAAACACTCACTTGAGTTTGGCCTCTTCAGCCTTCTTCCTTCTACGGTGGCGAACTTCTGTAAATCAATAATAAACATCAATAACAACTCAAAATATACAATCACCTCCATTGCTATATATATTTAAAAACATCACACCACTAATCACATATTACTGAAATTAAATGCATATGTTATCCTTCTATATTAGAAGACAAACAGATATGAAAGATTAGAATAAAACAACTGATACTTTCTAGACACACCATTCCTCTTCACCACCATTGTTCACACGAGAAGCGTACTGACCTTCAACTTTGAGATTCGCTGTGGTTTCAATATCTCCAAAGCTGTTGGTAGCACGGCAGGTGTATTTCCCTCCATCTTCAGGTTCAAGGTCTTTGAGATCAAGTGTTGCCATGCCATCTTTGTATGTGGCTTTGGCACGTGGACTTGGGAGGACTTCTTCACCATCTTTCAACCTGGAAGGGAAAAAGATATATTAAATATAGACCAGAGACTTTGTAGCTCTTTCTAGAATGGTCACACAGGTTTTCTGTGAATGTCATTGATTGTAACATTTTACTCTTTTCCCCACATGAGACAACAGTCACAGGTGATCAATATAAAACTTTGGTTGAGTTCGTCTGGATGGTCTGGCGATGTCCAGTCTCAGATTCAGAGATTATTTCATTGAAACCCATCTCCTCGCATATACAACAGAACGTCCTTCTGACCCTACATCTTTAAGATGCCACCATTGACAACAAGAACAAGAACAAACACATCTCTCCTGTAAAGTCACACGTGTAATATTCCAGTCTCCATAGGAACCCTCATCTGCAACATCCTGGAGAAGGTTATATACCGACAACAACATGCTTCGTTCCTTACAGCTGCCTTACAACCACTCCACCACACATCAGCCCGAGGTGGGCCGCTTGCATAGAGTTACTAACTACATCACCATGGTCCACGATGCATTGCACAACATGGCAGCCGAACAGTTACAATTGAGTTGGTATGGTTTTACACCGCTTTTAGCAATATTCCAGCAATATCATGGCGGGGGACACCTGAAATGGGCTTCACACATTGTACCTATGTCGGGAATCGAACCCGGGTCTTCGGCGTGATGAGCAAACGCTTTAACCACTAGGCTACCCGACCGCCCCCTAACAGTTACAAAGATTGGATAACTTAGTGAGTGACTTGAATTAAATACCAAAAGCCTGAAGTCACTTTTAAAGACTTTTACCACATTGGTGAAACACCCAAGCAAAGGTAAGGTACTGACAGAAGAATCTGTGATTCAAGCCAATAGGACACTGTCTCTGTGTAATGTGGCTAATTGCTATCTGCTAGATTGACAAACAGGAGCAAATTTGACTCATCAAACAACAAAGTGAGATTTGAATTACCGTATTCGATGTAATAATACCCAGGGCCCTCTCAAAATTAGAAATAGGGAGCTCTTATTAGAATATTATTTTGGTGAAAAAAAAAAGAGTTGAAAAATCGTAAATTTCGTGGTTTATGCTGACAGCCTGAAATGTTTACATACGACAGATATATTTTTCCAGAATTTAATTGCCCATAATTGAAGGTGCATATAACACACAAGTGCGCATTATACACGAATAAATAAGTCTTGTGTACATTGATCAATTGGAAGGGGTCCTAACTGGGATCATGCACTAGCCAATATATTAGCAAATATCGCCATGGCGCTTAGTAGAGCGGGGTACTTATTACGTCGAATACGGTACTTGAATCACACTTGCTGGAACTGCCAATTGAACCAGGCCTAGTTCCATGTAATATGTCAACTGAGCCTTAAAGCAAACCTCATTAAAAAAATTCACAAAAAGTCTAAAAAGAAGTCTTGATTAGACCTGTAGTGACTAATACACCATGGCACAGGATCACACCAACAATAGACAGTGATGAAATAAACAGCTGGGTCAGCTCTTGACCAATAACACTGAATATCCAAGAAAATCCTCGAATTCATTTAAGTATACCCCCATGCCATATATGAGGCACCATGAATGACTGCTATCATCAAACTATAACCAATATCACATTCCCATAAAAATAAAGTCAAAACAAGTTCTTAGGTAGATATGTATGTTTCAATTACACCGATAACCATTTGATTATAAAGATGAGAAAATAATCAAGTAAGAACGTTACTTTTCCCGCAGATAAATCTCGTAAGCAGCTTCCCAGACGTCTGGCAGTTTATCAAGTGGATGCAAGTGCTTTTTATACAGTTCATAATGGCAAATACAGCCGGGATTAATGCTAATATCTGCCCTGTGAGCCAAGCGAAACATCTAATCTTCCTATCAATCTCTTAACAACTTCCTAACGTTTTTTCAGATATCTTCACTCAACAAAATTTGTGGCAGAGGAATTATGGGATAATGATAGGATTAAAACAACTCCAATCTGTCAGTTTAAAGTAAGTACACAAAAATATCCAGCAGTATATATAAAATCACTTAGCAACACTTGAAATGCTTGGGCGGGTTCTTGGTGTAAAACTTGGAACCGATTCAGAACATGCATATATTGAGCAACATGCCAAAAAAGTGATTTGACGTAGTCTTTCTATTTCCCATTCGAATAGGAATACCATGTTGTTCTGACATAGGTTTCCATGGTAACATGTTCCTGATAGTGGTCATGAGCAGATCTCAGCTGATACATAGATGTTAAAAGTCAGAAATGTGTTACTAAAATATAAACTGAAAAACTGGTACAATGAGGTGAAGGTATCATATTCACCCATGAATGCAGTCTACTGGAATAACTGTACACATCCAGCTTTCTTTTCCATTCTCAGAATACAGTTCTAACAATAACAACATGCAGGCAAGGTGAAGGTCATCAACAGCCATACTAGCTTCTGTGGCAGACAAATTATGTCATAACTGACTTAATCTTTTACTTAAGCTCAGATGAGAGTATTGATTATCTGTTTTATGCTTACAGAATATTTTTTTTAAATTATACTCCCCAGGGAGCTGAAAATGCAATTTGAATGCACCAAGGTAATATATCATGTACTCTGACCTTGATTTGACCAAGAGGATAGACACCATCACCATCATTTTTGACCATGTATGTCATCATCATCATCATCATCATCATCATCATTTTTTACCATGTACGGCTTTGATTACTGACTATCAATGAACTAAGTTCACATCTTGAGATGGCAGATGACGTGAAGAGTCACTGTTATTTCAAAATATTTACAGGAATCATAGCATATTACCTCTTCTTGACGATTAGAAGCAGCTTATCAAACCTGACTTTCACTACGTCCTATCCAAGGTTGAATTACACTGAGGCCTGACAACACGCACCTTTCCACTGCCACATGTGTCTCTGTCAGTGTCTCGGACTGGATTACCTCCTCCTGAATGTTTGTTGTGTATATTTGTTGCGTCTCTGTCACATGTTTTGCAACTTTTATTTCCTCACAAACCTCTCGTACAACCCTAACAGCCACAGCACTTTCAACAACCTGTTCCTCCGACTTTAGAATGAGCTCCTGCTCCGTGGCAGTACTCACAAGAGGAACTTCAGGTTCCGTCGCAAAAACTATTTCTTCTTTTATATCATCCACATCAAACTCCTCAATATCTTGTTCAACTAGTGGCATTTCTATTTCTTCAATTTTCTCAAGTTTCGTAAGGGCAATATCTGCAATTTCTTCCTGAATATCATCCAAATGTACATCATCGCTAGTCAGGGAATCAATTCCAGTGTCGGCGTAAAATTCAGTTTCTACGTCTTCAACATCCACTTTGTCACTTGCCACAGACCCTAGTGTAAACCTGGCCTCACACTCACTTGACCCCGACTCGTTGCCCGTGTCAACAGACAACACCGTCACAACATCGTCCTCAGTCACACTCCCTGTCATACTTCCTCTTCTCTCTTCTTCAGCTTCCACATCCGCAGTCTTCCATGCCGTTCGGATTTTCTTTTTTGGACCTTTTCTCAATTTGCCACCATCTTCAATTCCAGCGCCAGCGGCCCCTGCTAGCTGTATTTCTTCAGCAGGGGCCTCAAATAGTTTCTTTTTGGATGACATCTCAGATGCATGGAATGGACAGTCTTTTGAAGGGCACTTATGATTGGGCAAAATAAACATCAAACTCATGATTGCTGGTAGCTAGATTCACACAACCCCACAAAAAAATGATCACTCTCAAAATATTATTACTCCTGGCTCATTGTGGTACGAAATTCCACAATGAATATTCACTGATTTTCAAAACCACAACCTGACGTAGTCACTTTAATCCACAATGAAGAATTAGAGTCACAACTCGAAAACTTTGTGACTCAACAAGCCAAATTAGCTACAGCTCCACACAATCTCTTCAAACGGCGTTGCACTCACAGCACACAGTCCATCCAAAATGGAAAAGCGGAACAATCAGGTGTTGTGATGATGAAAACACAAATATCCAACAAGGAATATAATGAAGAATCCGAAAATTATAACTCCACAGCAAACTTTATCCCAATATCAAAAGTGCCCTTCAAATGGAAACGAGACCCAAGATGTGTCTCAAAAGTCAGTTTGTTCCACCGGATCCGAGTAAAAAACTGATAAACATCTACGCCAAAACGTGAAATGGGAGAATTAAAGAACAAATGCCTACACCGATCTAAAGCTACCAGACTGTGTGAGGAGCAAGAGAGGAGGAATTTCACCTACACGCCAACAAAAAACAGAGGAAGTCAGAGCTGGAATGATCTAAGCCTGTGCCAAGAACGGAACCTTTAGTTACGTCGGCTCATCCAGCTGACATGATGGTATACCTGTAGAGGTTCTACCTTGCCGGGAGATATCGGCTGTGATAACACACATGTGGGGCACGCCTGTCCACACAAATACTCTTGTAATATTACTCTCTGACCTTCAGGATTGGATCACGGCTTGAAACTGTCTAACACTTGTTTTGCATGAAACTGTTGGGTGGGGCTATTTTTACCTGATTTGATGCTATTCATAAATGTTTGACGTTTTCATTAAGAAACATACCAACATTTTTGGAACATTTTGATAAGGATGGAATGCTTGATGATAGGTTTTATCTAGATTTGCTGATAATTAATAGTTTATTAAGAACAGTCGATAAACTGGAAAATATTCCTTTCATCATAACTAACTACATATGATCATTACCTTGAAATTGATCCAAAATCTAATTATGGCATTGCAAAGAATAAAATCTTAAGAGAAAGTAATTTGAACCAGGATGAATATTTAAGGGTGAATCTATTTTGAATTTTCTAATTAGATAATGTTGACATGTACATAAAAAAGTCTCTACAGTACAAGAGCTTGGCTCGTCCTCAGTGTTATATCAAGACTGTTTATAGAGACTTGAGGGTCATCTTCTATCAGGGGCTTCTTGCACCATGGCTGCTGATGAGGGTATCATCTACACCT